TGGTAAAGGAATAAATTATGAGTTCACCTGCTCTGAAATGCAGCTATTGTACACATGAATTGCATAATATTCCTTCTGACATAACCATATGCTTATAAGAAGCTGTTACTTCTATTAATAATTATTATTTTCATATGTTTTTAAGTTTTTATCCTGCCATTCTTATTTTGAATCAAATGCATTAAATATTTGTTTAATTATAATATAAAAATTTAGGAATCATTCGAAACTATAAAAAAAGTAATTAGTCAACTTAAGTAGGTCGATACTATCAAAATTGGTTTAATCTCACGATTGCACTGCCGGTAATTCGAGTGGCCTTGTGATGTCAATCTCTAATGGTGTCATTACGTGCTTTGCTGCCGTTGCCTATGCTCCGAACGCTAAGTTAGTTATCCAAGAAATTCAGGTTTATCCACCAAAGTCCGGTGAAGTGAGGATAAAGATAATATCTTCTGGTGTTTGCCATACTGATGCTTATACCTTAAGCGGGTTAGATTCGGAAGGCGTATTTCCTGTTATCTTGGGTCATGAAGGAGCGGGAATTGTTGAAAGCGTTGGTTCAGATGTCACAGACATCGAGGTAGGGGATCACGTCATCCCGTTATATATTCCTCAATGCAAAAGTTGTAAATTCTGCAAAAGCAACAAAACCAATCTTTGCTCGAAAATAAGGTTTTCGTTATTTGCTTTTAAGGTTTGTACAGGGATACCCAGGGTCGTGGTCTTATGCCGGATGGTACAAGTCGTTTCCTCTGTAGGAATACAACGATATATCATTTCATGGGCTGCAGCACCTTCTCGCAATATACTGTCGTTGCTTCCATATCTGTTGCCAAGATAGATAGACGGGCTTCCTTACGTGATGTAGGTCTCCTCGGCTGTGGAATAAGTACTGGATACGGAGCGGCCATCAATACAGCTAGTATATTACAGTATTTTTAAAGTTTCAGATGTTGAACAATCGAGTACTTGTGCTGTTTGGGGATTGGGAGCTGTCGGGCTTGCAACGATAATGGGCTGTAAGGAGGCTGGAGCTCGTCGCATTATTGGAATCGATATAAATTCCCTTAAATTTGCGAAAGCGATTGAATTTGGGGCTACAGAGTGTGTTAATCCTATGGACTACCCTGATAAATCTATTCAGCAGGTATGCTCCTTAAAAGTTGATCTATAAATTGAAAAAATACTAAGTTTACGTTTAGCTCATAGTCGAGTTGACGGATGGTGGATGTGACTACACATTTGAATGTGTAGGTGACGTGAAAACGATGCGTGAATCTTTAGAGTCTTGCCACAAAGGATGGGGAGTTTCCGTTATTGTTGGTGTAGCACCAGCAGGACATGAAATATCCACGCTTCCCTTCCAACTCGTGACAGGACGCACATGGAAAGGTTGCGCTTTTGGAGGTTTGTTTGATTTTACTTACTCTCTCTTTCTCGCGCCGTTAAAACAGGCTGTATTTAAATTCATAATAAGAGTGAGTTATCGTCTAGAACGTTTCTAAAGTCTCACTACATTTCAATTAGTCTGGTTAATTTACATATTTCTGCCCTCTATGTAAATTTTTATTACCTTCCGAATGAGATCACATTCACATTTTATGCAAATGCCAAAGTTGCCACAGCGACTCTCATGTCCTTCATCCGGTTGGTTCACAATTCATGAAACACCTAATTTTGCCTCGCCTTGTAAAGGCCAAACAACATTAATTAAACCTGCGTGGTGCACCCATCAAATTAGTTCAGCTCTTTCGTATATTTAAATTGTCACATATTTTAGAACAAATTTCCACTTGATTATTGCGAGTCCGAATAATTGGATGCTAATAGTTAACCTACTGGCACTTGGTATTCTTATCTCTAGTTGAGAATCTATTAGGGAAGTTCG